GTTATGAACTCAGACACTTAGGATGTTGGACCCAATTGCACGACACGGGAGACAGAGGTAAAGTATTGGTAAGATACTTTATTTTCTAAAACACAGCAAGATGAACAAAAAAAAAGGTCACTATCGAATCTCAAGTTGAGATGACAAAAATAGAGAACAAAATGAAAGCACTCACGAGAGCACAGAGAGCATAGACCTGACCATGGCAAGAGACAAGACGAACTGACAGCAGCACCATATGGACCAACTCAAATTAGCTTTATTCTATAGAAGTGTTCGCCAAGTAAACATTTCCCAATGCATTTTCTTTGGTGAGTTTCAGACTTTATTCTTGATGACATAACATAATTGAATTACGAAAATATATGTGCCTTCATAATGGTTTAATAAACATTATAATGTAGTTTTTTTTAGCAGACGTGAACTTATTTTAAAGTATTTCATTTTTTTATTTGTAAAAAGCATTTCCGTTTAAGATTAAGACTGAACTTTTAATGATAGTCATTATAGGGAAGTGATTATTGCATCAGAATTATAACTTCTGATTAAATGGAGGAACATAGAGTATATTTAGATACACTTGATGGAAGATGCTCCTCGCCATGTGATGCTGTTTCTTTCAGCTTGACATTTTGACAAAGAAAGATTTAGCCGATAATAGTAGATGCACTTTGTAAGAGTCTTTTGTCTGCCAACTTTGTACTTTCATGTACTTTTTAAAGACAGGAACTCTTTAACCACATGGCAGCTCAGTGTCTTGTGGGTAGAGGAAACAGAAGTGACACACGTTCACCACAGGCAAGCTCTGCAGCTTTCGACAAGAACTCTGCATACGTGTGACACCATGCATGTAAACGCTCTGTATGTTCTTATAAGTGAATCGTTGCAGCTCTGTGCAGCATGCATTTGTGTGTGTGTGTTGCAAACATGTTCACGTTACTGGGTCAAAGACACTCACCTTGCCATCGTTTCACTTCCTGTCGTCCTGAATGACAGCATGTTAGGAAACCAAACGGTGGTCACGTGACACGACAAGTCTTCCACTTTCTGTGTTCAGTTTGTGCGGCACGAATCGTCATTTTGAAATTCACTACAGCGGGTTTTCTTTCACAATCGAAGTGAGTAAGCTCTTCCTGTAAAAGACACAAAGGAACTAAAAAGAGGAAGAGAGCGGACGGAGAGGTGATGGACACGACAGATGAGAGCTTTAGTCCAGTCATCGTCACCAACGGTGGTGAGTTTGTCAGAGCTCTTAGATTCTTTGCTTACCTTTTATTATACCTAGTTGTATTGATTTTGTGTGAGTTGTATAAAAGGCACCTTAATGTGTGATGTAATTAAAACAATAATGCACTTTCTTAAGGTAAATACAGAAGAAAGACAGTTCAAATGTGGCTTAAAATGCAGTTTTAGAAGTGGAGCATAGTAGATGACTCATTGTTGCTGTTTCTGTGTCATTCAGCTTACCCGGTACGATGCAGTGAGGAAGTCCTTCTGCCTTTCTTCACAGATGAGAGTCTGCAGGACGCCATGGACTCTCAAACCCCCCCTTCCTCCCACAGCACCCCCCCGGCTCTCCAAGAGCTCAGACTGGTCCTACTGGGCAGGAAAGGAGCTGGGAAAAGCGCGGCGGGCAACACCATCCTAGGAGTTGCGGGAGGTTTCGAGAGCGGGAAGCCTACGGAGGAGTGTGTGAAGAGGCGAGCTGATGTGGCGGGGAGGAAAGTCACAGTGGTGGACACCCCAGGGTGGGAGTGGTATTACCCGCTCAACAGCACCCCAAACTGGGTGAGGAGAGAGACTGTACGGAGTGTCTCGCTTTGCCCGTCTGGACCCCACGCTGTGCTCCTGGTGGTGCGATCCTGCGCCTCGGTCACAGAGGACTACATCAGGGAGATCGAGGAGCATCTAGAGCCGCTGGGGAAAGGAGTCTGGGAGCACACCATGCTGCTCTTCACCAGGGGAGATGAACTGGGTTTGGTTTCCATGGAGCAGCGGATTTTGACAAGCGGCCCGGCGCTGCAGAAGCTTCTCCAGAAGTGCGGGAACAGGTACCATGTGGTGGATAACCGGAGCAAAGGAGATGGGACGCAGGTGAAAGAGCTGATAAGGAAGCTGGAGGAGATGGTGGCGAGGAAGAAGGGTGGAAGCAGTCATTTAGAGATGGATAATACGGTCCTGGTGGGTCTGGAAGCTGACGGGAAGAGCAGAGCGAGGGAGAGGAGGAAGAAACAGAGGCAGATGGAGGCGCAGATGCAGAGAGGGACCATCAAAGCAGCTCTAATGAGTAAGTTCTTCAGTTGGTCCTCTCAAAAACATAGAATCCTATTACAATCATATTTATGTTCAATATGTATAAGTGCATTAAGAAAAATGTCATTTTAAGTCTTGAATCCACAAAGACTCTAGTGTGTTTGAACTCAGTTTAGTTTTTTCCTGGCAAGAAAATAACTCTAAAAAAGCAGCAGTCAGCTTGTTACTTTGAAAAAAACTTTTAAAATCCCACTGTACCTTCATTCTCTGCAAAGGATGACATTACAATACTATATTATTACACAGCTAGTTGTTTGGTGCTATATTAAAAGATAGGGTAATTCACTTCAGAAACAATATATACAAAAATGTCATCTGTGGAAGCCGTGGCGCTGTAAAAAGCTAAAATAGCTGGATGGCCTACCTGCCTGTCAGCCTTCCATCTCGTGCACAAACTTCTGCCCTCATTGGTCATGTGGGTTTTCGTGTGTGTTGGAGGAGGGGCTCTGTAAGGAAGTAGCAGATTCTTTCCGGTTGTGTACTTCCAAAATTCTAGCGCACTCGAGCTGGTTTCTCATTCTGTACCTACCCTACCTTTAACAGTCTGATATAAATGGAGAAACTTAAGGTAGTGCTGATGTCTGTTTCAGTAGCTTGTTAAAAGTGTATTGTCTCTGCAAAGTACAATCAATGAGTGATGCAGC